TATCTCAGCTATAAAGGAGTGGGCTAACCTAGGCGACGTGTTTTCTAGTTCGTAATGATGTAATAAACATATTTTGAAAGAATAAAGAAAATCGTGCCAAAGGGATAGGCCAGCAATAGAAATTTATGGTAATTTATTGTTCTATTGAGGCAGATTTTAAATAATGCATTAAATTGATAAATAATAATATTTTTTATCGAAATGGTGTTAGGTATTGTTTATTAAGGTGTAACTAACATGTATAAACGGAAAAAGTTGAGTTTTAGTAAATTAGGTTCTTATGGAACCGAGGTCACACCAGCTACAATCAAAATGGCCTATCTCAACTATAAAGGAGTGGGCTAACATAAGCGACATGTTTTCTAGTTCGTAATGATGTAATAAACATATTTTGAAAGAATAAAGAAAATCGTGCCAAAGGGATAGGCCAGCAATAGAAATTTATGGTAATTTATTGTTCTATTGAGGCAGATTTTAAATAATGCATTGAATTGATAAATAATAATATTTTTTATCGAAATGGTGTTAGGGATTGTTTATTAAGGTGTATTTAACATGTATAAACGGAAAAAGTTGAGTTTTAGTAAATTAGGTTCTTATGGAACCGAGGTCACACGAGCTACAATCAAAATGGCCTATCTCAGCTATAAAGGAGTGGGCTAACCTAGGCGACGTGTTTTCTAGTTCGTAATGATGTAATAAACATATTTTGAAAGAATAAAGAAAATCGTGCCAAAGGGATAGGCCAGCAATAGAAATTTATGGTAATTTATTGTTCTATTGAGACAGATTTTAAATAATGCATTAAATTGATAAATAATAATATTTTTTATCGAAATGGTGTTAGGTATTGTTTATTAAGGTGTAACTAACATGTATAAACGAAAAAAGTTGATTTTTAGTAAGTTAGGCTCATATGGAACCGAGGTGACACCAGTTTAATTCAAAGTTACCTATCTCAACTATAAATGAGTGTACGAACCTAGGCGACGTGTTTTCTAGTTCGTAATGATGTAATAAACATATTTTGAAAGAATAAAGAAAATCGTGCCAAAGAGATAGGCCAGCAATAGAAATTTATGGTAATTTATTGTTCTATTGAGGCAGATTTTAAATAATGCATTAAATTGATAAATAATAATATTTTTTATCGAAATGGTGTTAGGGATTGTTTATTTAGGTGTAACTATCATGTATAAACGAAAAAGTTGGTTTTCAGTAAATTAGGTTCTTATGGAACCGAGGTCACACCAGCTACAATCAAAATGGCCTATCTCAACTATAAAGGAGTGGGCTAACCTAGGCGACGTGTTTTCTAGTTCGTAATGATGTAATAAACATATTTTGAAAGAATAAAGAAAATCGTGCCAAAGGGATAGGCCAGCAATAGAAATTTATGGTAATTTATTGTTCTATTGAGGCAGAATTTAAATAATGCATTAAATTGATAAATAATAATATTTTTTATCGAAATGGTGTTAGGGATTGTTTATTAAGGTGTAACTAACATGTATAAACGAAAAAGTTGATTTTTAGTAAATTAGATTCTTATGGAACCGAGGTCACACCAGTTTAATTCAAAGTTACCTATCTCAACTATAAAGGAGTGGGCTAACCTAGGCGACGTGTTTTCTAGTTCGTAATGATGTAATAAACATATTTTGAAAGAATAAAGAAAATCGTGCCAAAGGGATAGGCCAGCAATAGAAATTTATGGTAATTTATTGTTCTATTGAGGCAGATTTTAAATAATGCATTAAATTGATAAATAATAATATTTTTTATCGAAATGGTGTTAGGTATTGTTTATTAAGGTGTAACTAACATGTATAAACGGAAAAAGTTGAGTTTTAGTAAATTAGGTTCTTATGGAACCGAGGTCACACCAGCTACAATCAAAATGGCCTATCTCAACTATAAAGGAGTGGGCTAACATAAGCGACATGTTTTCTAGTTCGTAATGATGTAATAAACATATTTTGAAAGAATAAAGAAAATCGTGCCAAAGGGATAGGCCAGCAATAGAAATTTATGGTAATTTATTGTTCTATTGAGGCAGATTTTAAATAATGCATTAAATTGATAAATAATAATATTTTTTATTGAAATGGTGTTAGGGATTGTTTATTTAGGTGTAACTATCATGTATAAACGAAAAAGTTGGTTTTCAGTACATTAGGTTCTTATGGAACCGAGGTCACACCAGCTACAATCAAAATGGCCTATCTCAACTATAAAGGAGTGGGCTAACATAAGCGACGTGTTTTCTAGTTCGTAATGATGTAATAAACATATTTTGAAAGAATAAAGAAAATCGTGCCAAAGGGATAGGCCAGCAATAGAAATTTATGGTAATTTATTGTTATATTGAGGCAGATTTTAAATAATGCATTAAATTGATAAATAGTAATATTTTTTATCGAAATAGCGTTAGGTATTGTTTATTAAGGTGTAACTAACATGTATAAACGAAAAAAGTTGAGTTTTAGTAAATTAGGTTCTTATGGAACCGAGGTCACACCAGTTTAATTCAAAGTTACCTATCTCAACTGTAAAGGAGTGGGCTAACCTAGGCGACGTGTTTTCTAGTTCGTAATGATGTAATAAACATATTTTGAAAGAATAAAGAAAATCGTACCAAAGGGATAGGCCAGCAATAGAAATTTATGGTAATTTATTATTCTATTATGAGGTCCATTCCAGGCTGCATAGCTACACTACTAAAAAGTGGGCTAACCTATACTACGTCATTTTATGTTCATAACAATGTGTTTAACACATATCAAAAGAAAAACGAGAAAAAAATTTAAGAGGAGATGCCAGCAATAGGTTTTTTACTATATTTAGTTAGTAATTTTAGGTAGTTTATTAGTTTGTATTAATATCAAGGTGATTTCTACATTAATAAGCTTAAAAGTGCCCAGTATTGTTCAATACCAGATAAATAATGTAAATAGACATTTAGAACATACATTTTTGTAATAGCATCGGCGTGCAACCGAGGTCACACGAAGTGCATTCCAGGATACATAGCTACACTATTAAAGAGTGGGCTAACCTAGAAGAGGTAATTTTTTGTTCATAACCATGTGTTTAACGCGTATCAAAAGAAAAACTGAAGAAAAATTTAAGGGGAATTGCCAGCAATAGGTTTTTATGGTAGTCAAATAGTAATTTTAGATTTGGATTCAAATCGATGCGGTAACTACTTAATTAGCTAAAAAGTGCTTGGTGTTGTGCAATATGCTCTACATAATGTAAATAGACATATAAAACATGAATTTTAGTAATAGCGTCGTCGTGCAATCAAGGTCACATGAAGTGCATTCCAGGCTGAATAGCTACACTAGTAAAGAGTGGGCTAACCTTGAATACGTCATTTTTTGTTCATAACCATGTGTTTAACATATATCAAAAGAAAAACGAGAGAAAAACTTAAGGGGAGATGCCAGCAATAGGTTTTTATGGTAGTCAGCTAATAATTTTATCATTTGGAAAAAATTGGAGGTGGTTACTACTTAAAATAACCTCAAACGTCTTTAATATTGTTCTTTATTCTCTAAATAATGAAATAGTAGTTTAATTTCATTCAACGTATTGTACAGTTTTATACATATATATTACTTAACCTTCATAATCAACGCTGTGCGTGTACCGCCAAACGCCATCTTGGCCGTGTTTCGCAAAAAAAAATTGCCGCCACTTGATATTTTGGAGGTTATGTCAGCTGCTTTGTGACGAATCCTACTGTGACGCCATCATTGTTGTGACGTTTTACTGTGACGTATATTCGTCGGAGGGGCGGTAGGAGAAGTGGAATGGGTTATTGCTGTTCTATTGCCAGTTTCACGCTGATGCTTTTTGTACTGTCCAGTAATGGAAAACATCAATACTTGGCCAAAAACACCGATGTCATCAATGAAAACATCGATGTTTCATAAAAAAAAACTAAGTTATCGATGCTCATCCCTACGATAGATAGGCTTATTTAAATTTGAAATGGCCATGCTCATTATATTCCTAACTTAGTGAATTCAGAACGGTCTCTTAACCGAATTCAGAAAAAACATTAAGTAGCCATCTACAGACAAACACACATCAGGTAGCAACTACGTTGCGGGAATAAAGAAAAAAGGACAATAATCCATGCCCAGGCAATGTCTTGTCATTAACCTGAGAACGTGAAGATCTTGGCATCCTTCCCCCCTTCCTCCGCGGTCGCAAAGACATCACTGCCTCCTATGATCGTGGGGGATGTCAAGATATTGTCACGATCATAGGAGGCATAATCATACGCTTATGCGTAGAAATCATCTTTACCTCCTGTGATCTCGACAAAATCATGACATTCTTCCATAGTTGCGAAGTCATCATCACCGCCTCCTATGATTATGGCAATATTTTTGACATTTCTCCGTGGCTGCGAAGACATCATCATCCACTCTCGCACGATATCACCAATATATTGACAGTCTCAAACTGTCGCGAAGACATAATTTATAATTCCCCCTTGCTTTCCCCTAAAAGAATGGAAAAAAGCAGGTGAAAATTCTCATATAAAAAGCCTTAGGCCTACCGGTACTATATTCAAGTTAATCCATTCTATTAGTCCATTCCATTGTTCCAAACTTAAATAACTTTTCTTTGATAACTTAGGTAAAACTCGGGTTACAAGAGTGTTGAGAAATCTAAAATATTGTTTAATAAAGTCTTTAAATAAAGTTTGAGCTGTTATACTATTAACACAATAAGTAATCTGTAAGTTAAAAACACAGTTTTTGACAGTACAATTAGGCTACTCTAGTCTGTAATAAACTGTAGTCGTTTATCGATAGGCTACTGAATTTGTTGTTGTCTGTGCAAGAGGCATTTATTTAACTATGTATTCATTTGTATCTAAGGTAGGTCTACCTTATTATGTTAGCTTATATACTGATAAGAATTTGGTTTATTTTATTTCAAGGAATATTAATTAATATCTATTGCATTGTTATATTCAGGTAATGGGAGAAAGTGATTGGAGACCCTTTGTCTATGGAGGGCTTGCATCTTGCACCGCTGAATGTGGTAAGTGAAATGACTCCTTTCCTATCTGATTATTAGGCTAGTATACTACACTTGTAAGTTCAACTTGTGAATTAACATTGCAATTGATATAAAAACCAAATTTAACCTAAAATATAAGTCGATGCAGTACTTTGCAGAGTGTAAAATGGTACTTAATATCAGCTGGGCTTCCTCCAAAGAGTATAAAGCAACTCAGGAATGATGTTGGCAAGAACTGATTAGACTGAACTATCCAAGAAAAGAAGTCTTTAAAAAGTTGTTATTGCATACACTTTCTTTATGCGTGGGTATTTCATTCCTATGAGCACTGGTTCCTGTACTGCTTTGGAGTTGCAAAGACAAGGTTTTTTTTTGTGAATTGTTTATTTTATATTCGGTATTTTTTGTCCAGGGACGTTTCCAATCGATACCACAAAGACTCGACTCCAAATACAGGGCCAGAAAATAGGTGGCCAGCATGTTAAGCTGAAGTACCGAGGGATGGTGGATGCATTTCTTCAGATTGCTCGGCAGGAAGGATTTCGGGCGCTTTATTCCGGGTGAGATTAATTTGTTTATTGCTTTTGGCATTTTTGTCAGAGAATTTTAAACGCTTAGACCAAACCATTAGCTAATAGGGTATATCTACAAGTGTCTTGAATTAATCTACATTACAAATGACATATTAAATAGAAGGCAAATTTCTGTTAGTATGATTTTTTAAAGAAATATTGGTTAACGGGATTTTTTGCTGTAGAAAAGTAAAAATATTATAGCCTAAAGAAAAAGTTGTTTTATTTACTGTCAATTCTTTAATTATAGACTACCTACAGGTATTTTCCTGTTTGCTACTTAAACAGATTTTAAATATGTTTGTTAAATAAAATAGGGATATCATTCATGCTTGCAATTGACAGTTGAAAACCTTGCAATATTTTCACATTGGTTAAATTAGTTGTAAAACTTGACAGTATCAGTAAAAGATTGCTATCTGACCTTTGGGGTTAGTTATACAACTGTTTGGTTGTACTGTTGGGCCACTTGAATTATCACACTTTTTAACTATGCTTATTAAAGATACCATTTAACTCCAATATCACATCTTTAAGATAACATTTTTATATAAGTGTTTTATTTAACAACTTATTAAAACCAAACCTAATGTTAAGCATTTGTTTAGTTTAAATCTCTGAATATATAATTGTTAAAATAAAAAAATAAAAAACCGACTAATTGCTAATTAGTACAGATTGCAAAATATTTTGTAATTTTATCTTGTATTATGTATACATATAATGTAGCCTATATGTGTATATGTGTAAATATATACTGGTTAAACAGTGTTGAGAGAAACCAGGTTAACATGTAAAAGGAATTGTTTTGGCAAAATGTACGGCAAACTATAGTAAAAAGAAGAAAAAGGAGGATAGCAGCTAGCTTACCTTGAAAGTGTCGGTAGGCCAAAGAACAAGTAGAAAAATATTTTGCACACAATATTTCGTCCCCTAAGGGACTTTGTCAAGTGTAGAGAGAGTTTATAAATTACAAGATGGCTGCTGTCATGGCTGATGTACATGATTACAAGATGCCATGACAGCAGCCATCTTGTAATTTATAAACTCTCTCTACACTTGACAAAGTCCCTTAGGGGACGAAATATTGTGTGCAAAATGTTTTTCTACTTGTTCTTTGGCCTACCGACACTTTCAAGGTAAGCTAGCTGCTATCCTCCTTTTTCTACAATTTAAAATCCTGGCCTAGAGCCTTTCCTTAAACAAAACTATAGTTAAAAAAAGTCGATGAAGAGACTGGTTTTCACAAACTATGGATAAGGAAATAGTAAATCTGAAAAAAAGGAGGTACTGAACACTGAAGATATCAACAGCATGCAGCAAGCTGATTGAATACGAGTTTTGACATATAGATCGACAGTGATGTAGAAGAAGAAAATGGAAAACAAACCACTGATACAGAAGAGATTTGCTAGTATTAAGTAATGTTTCTAGTATTATGTAGATATCTTATATAACTTGAAGTATCTCTTGTAACTAGTAGTACCTCTTGTATTGATAATGATGCCACTTCACATTCAGGAGGGTACGACCATCAGACCTACCATTCCGAGAAAAGTTTTGTGTGGTTTCTTCATCACTTAGGCGAATGCCGGAATGGTTCCATCAAGGGCCTTACTTCACCTTGCAGAAGGCAGAATGGAAGACGGGACTTGCTCCTACTTACATTTAGATGGTCCGACTATCAGATCAACCTTTCCATGAAAAGTTATGTGCGGTTCCTTCCTCACTTGGGCGAATGCCGGAATGGTTCCATCAAGCAACCTCACCTTCCTCATGGTAGCTTTTTACCTCACCTTGCAGAAGGCAGAATGGAAGACGGGACTTACTCCTACTTCTGCTTGGTTTATAAAACCCCAAAAGGTGTTATTTGTCGAGGAATAATAGTAAATCGTTTGATTAAATTACATAATTTGTTAGTCAAGTGACCGCTTTGTTCATTGATTGATCGTCATTATTGTACAACAATGGAGACAGTTTTTTTTAATGTCTTTATATTGCTACTGTATTTCATTCTCTCTTGTTCCATTGCAGAATTTGCCCCGCAGTCCTGAGACAAGCAACCTACGGAACCATTAAGTTCGGAACGTACTACACACTCAAGTCGGCAATAGACCGCAGGGAGGAGGACATTACAGTGAACGTGTGCTGCGCCGTAGTGGCAGGCATGGTGTCCAGTGCTATTGCCAACCCGACAGATGTGTTGAAGGTGCGCATGCAGGTGTTGGGATTGCAGGCGCAAGGACTGATAGGCGCTGCACAGGACTTGTACAGGCACGAGGGCATCCCGGGCCTCTGGAGGGTACGAACTACATTATCGTAATAGGTTTGTTTTGTTTTAAATTTGTTTTGGAAATGCATTCGGGACTTTTTAGTTTTTGGATATGCTGATTGAAATTTGTTAAGTGTAAAATTCAGTAACAATAATATTTGATGGAAACATTAGTTGCACAACAATGCCATAACGGAACAGATTGTTGCAAGTCCATAGTTATTTAGTTTGCTTTTAATCAAATTGCTTCGGATCCTTTTTCAGTTGTAGTTTTAAAGATATTGGTGTTGCCAGGAAGTTTGTTGAATTTTTTAACCCGTGCTAATATAAATTTCTAATTTAATATACGGACCCCTCTGTAGACCCAATGCAGTCTGAAAATTCACGACTCACTGTCCACCCAGCAAGATTAAAAACTATGACTTAAAGGTGTTGCATGATCGTGCCAACAAAACTGTCCTAATACGTCACAATTCTGGTGGTATTTCTGGTTATGGGTAGAATCTGAATTTTTGTGTTGTTCTTAAAAATCAATATTATTTTGTTTATTTTTTTGACATTAAGAATTCTATAAAAAGTGGTTAAAAATGGTCTTGATACTATCAGACGACTAGATGATAGCACCATTAATCAAAAGCAAGTTAAAGTCAATGAGTATTTACACACACATTTGTATTCCAATTCTGTATAAAATTTGAGTCTGTGTGAATAAATCGTGTTTATTTATTGTTCGATAAGCTGGAATTGGAAACAAAGTTTGCTTTTAAATGGTCATATTAGGGTTATTAGTGTATTCATGATCATGCTTATATACATTAACATCATCATAAGTTAAATTTTATCATTGAAAGTATTGAAATATAGTCTTTTCAGTAGTCGCTCAGTAATGCCTCATAATTCGACTGTGTAATTTAATTTATAATTCAGCAATACAAATTTGACTCATCACAGGTAATACAACATGGTACATTCTCTGGTGACACTGATCAGGTACCCCCTGATAGTCTGGAATGGGGCCAGTCTTGTTTCTGCCCCAGTCAAAGCAATAATGTGTTTACGTTGCTTGCAGGGTGTTGGACCTACAGCTCAAAGGGCTGCAGTGATTGCTGCTGTGGAATTGCCTGTTTATGATTACTGTAAACACTACTTCTTGCCATACTTTGGGGACAGCGTCACCAATCATTTCACGTAAGTTACCTTGCTTGAACCACATGTTGTATCTGCCTAGTAATTAATGGTGAATGTTAGAGTACAAAATTGTTCAAAGATTATTTGAGCATTGCCAGCATTCAAAATAAATCAATTAAAAATCAATAGGGCTTCAGAGGTTAAAGTAATTGACCATACACTTCACCAAACAATTAGTGAACAAAGCAATGTACTGGTAAATAGAACACGTTGCAAGGTAAAAATATTAGAAATTAATAATTTAGCTGAAAACGTATCTCAAACAACTATCTTAATCAGCCCCTTGACCTTCCTTAAAAATATAACTTAATTATCTTTACAAACTACAACTGTATTTTAAATAATTTTCTCCTGTTTCCTGCCATTTTAGGTCGAGTTTCTTGGCCAGTTTGGGAAGTGCTGTTGCTTCAACCCCAATAGATGTTATTAGGGTAAGTGTTTTGTTTGATCAGCGAGTACAAAATTGCTACATCTTTTAAACAATAAGTGGCACTTTCAATTTCTGCACATAAACCCATGACACACCGAGTTTGCTACTGCGAGGGGAGCGAACTTTGAAGTATCGCTCATCATGTTATCAAATGGGCAAGTCACATAGCACTACCGCTCGCCCGCCACGATAGTTTGCTGAGTGATTTTATGAGACTACCGCGGCGGGAGTTTTGTCTAGCGCATCTCGAATGGCCAAGCCATTTTAAAGTTTAAAAGTAATACAGTTTACTGACGTTTTGGACTGAATATAAAAATCTTCATAACCATGACCATCATTAGTTTCCCATTGCAAAATTACAACATTACGTTTCCAATGACCCACCAGCAGTCAAAATGTAATCGTCTGTGACAAATGATCAAAACATTAATATAGGCTAAGGTTTTAGGTTTACCAGCATTGTTAAATAAGGTCCATCATAAGATATAATCACTGGCCAAGCTGTTTAAGATATCCTCTTCCCTAGCAGGAGACAGTGCTTTACATCAAGGTCATAACAAATACTTTTTAACCTCAGAAATTCTTTTTTGATTCAACCATTTACATATTATTTAAAAATATGTTTCTGTCGCCTCATGAACGCAAAAAGCCAAGGAGACCAAGATTCCTTGGCTATTCAAGTCTAAAGGTCTGTATTCAAACTCATCAACTTAAAATATTCTAAACTCATCTCCCAGCTCTCAGTGCTTGTCATGAATAGCTGTTAGCCGGTTTTGTTTAGTTTGACTAACGACTCATAGTTAGTTAGTTATAAGTAAGTATAAGAAATATTAACCACTGGAGATCCAAAAGATGTAATTTTATTTTACAAAGCAATGTATCGTTTCCAGACCAGATTAATGAACCAGAGGAGATTAAAAGCAGAGAACATACAAAGTCATATTTACAAAGGAAGTGTTGATTGTCTTGTTCAGGTAGGTGCTGCATTTTAAATTATCTCAAAATAATTGATCTAGAAAATTACTTGTTTTAAATAATTTATACACTTCAAATATATTTTCTCAAGGGAGATAGGTAGGTCCTGGGACGCAATATTACTGTGTCTTCACTCAAAGCTAGGCCTGCATCATCATTCACTTTGTACACTTAATAACATAAATTATGTTACCCTAGTGGTTAGTGTCTCATTCTTTGGTGTAGAAGACGAGTTGTTTAAACAAATCTATTTGAGGGCCAGGAGACAGGTTCAATCTTACAAACTTTAAAAAACTTGACATTATAGATAATGTACTCAGAAGCACAAAACACCTATCGTCTTTGCAACTGCACAGTATTGTTTTTCTCCTTAAATTTGATTATTTTAATGATTCTTATAATATTTAAAATTTACATTTTGACTGCCAAATAACATTTTTGTGGTACTGAATGTTCAGACAGTTCGCCACGAAGGGTTCGCAGCATTGTACAAAGGTTTCATACCTACGTGGGTGCGCATGGGCCCGTGGAACATCATATTTTTCATCACATACGAGCAACTGAAGCGCTTCTATTAAACGGTTTGTAACGATCAGCTTTGTCGGTGAGGCCAAAGTACTTAGTGTCTAGAACAAACCAAAGCCTATAGTTGTTATTTAACCAAATAGGAAATAATGTTACTTTATTTTTATATTAGGCTTTAAGTCTATATTAATGAGACAAATATCAATGGATTTGTTTTTTCACATTACGTAATCTGATTGGCTATGTTATTTGTGGAAACCTTTTTATCTGTCGACAAATAATTTAATCATTGTTGTTGTTATTTGATCTAATTATGTGTTTGATTGCGAGATAAAACAATTAAAGCAAGCCAAACCGCTTTAAATCCTAAAAGTTGGATAAATTATCAATAGTGATCATTAGTATTATACAATTTTTTTTACAACAGTACAAGCTAGTTCATTATTAAAAAACTTGCATCACGCGCATTTTGCTCTAAATAAGTCACAAAAATGGTTTTAATCTCATGACATCTTTTTAGAGGGTTTTTGGTTTAGCAGGTCCTACTAAGTACGGTAACAAAGATTTCATCAGTGGCACAAACCGCTTTAAAAGGTAGTATTGTCCCAAAACGGACTCTTCCCTCTCCATGAAAGCTTGTTATCCCAAAACTTCCCTCCTCGTTTCTATATGTTACATCATTGCTCACTAATATATTATGTGATATATTATATTAGCAATGTTAACTTTATCAACATTTTTTAAAGCACATAATGAAGGTGAAGTCAACTTTTTCATTGTGGCATTTGTTTAGACATAAGCATTTTATAATGCATTTAATGATGGTTAATCTATTTGCTACTTGATTGAAAAGATTTCACATGATCGTGTTTTCAAAAGGTAAAAAAAAAAAAAAAAAAAACAGGAAAAAACAAGTTCTTTGATTGTCTCATATTTATTTATTTGCCTGTTGGGCATTAAGCTTTAAACTAATTGTGAGTAGAGAGAAATGAGTGCCTTTAAGTTGCCAAGGAGATGTAAACAAAAAAAAATACTGAATGGGTATAAAGTATTAATGGCTTAACACCTTAGCTCTACATTATTTTTAAACAATAAGTTATTGTTAGTTCTGAAACAAAGGACCTTGTTATGCTTGATTATTATAATAATCTTTCTTACATTAATATTTGAATGAACGTTAAAAATTGCGGCCTTAAAAAAGCGTAGAGTCATTTATTATTCGGGTTTTGTTTCTTAAACTGAAACTCCGCCGGGTAGCTGATGAAATGCTCGGACCTCACCCCGTACTTAGGGATGTGGTCCCGAACGTCGCGCCTACACTGCTCAAAGTTAGTTAAAACAGGTGTTAAATCTTAACTTTATTTTAGACTATACAAAATTCCACTCTAGTTACATGATTTTGAAAGTGATTTTTTAAATTTTTATTTATCGGTCTAAAATGTAGTGTTAAATCAGTGTCATTAGTTCAAATGATCTATAGTGCTTGGATATATAGTTGAATTATTTCATTTAGAAGTAACCCTAACTCTAGTGGATTTCATATGAAATACTAAAAATCTTATAAATGTGTGTGCAGAATTCAATTTGCTATCAATTTGTGGTTTATTTGATAGAATCTTTGCTAAAAATAATATTCCTTGGTTAAAAAAACCTTATTTATGGCGTAACTAAAAATTTTATGTCTAATTTTGTCCATTTCCACTTACACAAACTCAAATTTTAAATCTTGTAATGTGTGATTTAAAAAAATTCCCAAATATGATACAAAAACATGTCCGTACAAAACAAAAAGTTTGACCTCATTCAATGTGACAATTTTGCAGTACTTGTGTTTCAAATATTTATGACTCTGTCACACTCAAAGAACATACAGTTCTACGACTGTTAAACTAAAATGTAAACACATTGCAATACACTGAATTTATCCCTTCACAATCTTCGAGCACAAATACAAGTATAGCATTTTAGACAAGTAAGGCAAATTATCGTAGGGAAAAACATTTTAAACTATTTAAAAAAGTAATTGTTAATAATTTATCTATACTAATGCTAAAGAAAGCACAAAATGTTTTCATAATTGTTCTAAACCAGCTGTTTTTCATGTGAAGTGCAACCTGAGGCGAAAAGTTTCTAATGGCTATTGTGATTATTGTTAATTTTATTTATATGTTATTAAATATTTTGATGTTAGTAGATGTCAATAGTGTAAGATTTATTTAGACATGTTTTATAACTATCTCTTGAACACGACTTAAACATATCATTAGAAACTAATTGACACTTTTCTGATAGACACCTTATACCTGCTTCTTAGAAGATTCTTATCAGTATCACTGAAATGCAGCAGCTGTTTTGGTCTTTTTAATGTACAGTAGACTCCCTCTTATTTGGACTCCTCGAGACCGAGGCCAGTTCGGATGACAGGTTTTCCGGTTAAATCGAAGTCCCCAAAAACTTGTTAAAACGGACCGTTTAAATGAATACTGTCACAGTATTTGACTTAAATTTAGGAGAGCTATGTATTTAGACATGTGATCACTGGTCTCAAATCACAGTCGTTTCAGTACCGCCCACTTCCTGCCGATCTAGTCTGGTTAAACCGATGTGCTGATAAAAATTGTTCGGTTAAAGAGATGTTTCTCCAAGTTTAGTCCGGTGAAACCAATGTCCGGGATCCTTGGTTGGATGATTTAATAACAAGAGATTGATTATAGTTGTTCTGTTTGATAGATAGAGTATAAACCCCTGGTGAACCAAAACGGTTCCACAAATTAATGCAGGGCTAAAATATCAGTAAATAAAACGTAATGTAAAATGCTCTAGCAACTTCAGTTGTTTAGATTAAAGTATTTTACCTCATTGTAACTATTAACTGTAACTATAACTATTGTAACTGTAGTTGAAATAAAATATTTAGCATTTGGTGGGTTAACCAAAAAATTGGTTATCCGAAACGGCTCTCCCCCCTTTATTTTGGTTAACCGGGGTTATACTGTAATTCAAGTCATGATGAATATAAAGACAATAGCAATGGTATAAGAGTTTGTTTTCCTATATACTGTGAAACCACTGGCCTTTACTTCTGTAAAATAATGTGAATTTTAAAATTATTTCATGTATGAAATGCCTGTATTGGTTTTGAGAATATACATTTTATATCCACTACTCTAAGATAAACTGAGTGATGTAACTGAATGCAATATTTAATAATTCCATCTCTATTTACTTCTGCTTCAATGTAGTCTTTACACTGTCTTTTTTCAGTAACTTGAAATGCTGTGGCAAATTATCAGCACCATTGCATTTATTAGTTATTCTATCAATTTTAATGCTACTTTGTATAAAAGATTTTATCTACTATTGAAGTTCCAAAATATAATAATAAGCAATTTCATTCCAGTAGTTCCTTTTCTGTTTTCTTCAAGACCACTTTTTATTTCTGAACAACAAAAAACTGTTCTGCTATAACTATTTCTGCCCTAGGGGCTAAACATGCTTTTTACTCCCTAAAGAGTAAATATGCTATTTTAGACCCACAATGCATGCATTAAAACGGCATTTTTTGCTTCAGCATTATGAAAAAAGTAAATATTACCTTGGCATACTCTTAGCTAGTCTCAAGTTATTTACAAAATTTAATGACAAATTCCTGTGATTTTGATTAAAACGCCCACAATTCCACTTCTGTATAAGTGTACCTTATATTTTTGAATACAAACAAGCTGTGTTAAGCTTTCTGTCAACTTTGTTCTCAAAACATTTTGTTCTTTAGTTTAAAATGTTTTTGTTCTTTATGAGGACATAAGTAAGTATTAAATTAGTTACTCATTAAATTGTATTTTAACTAACATCTTTAAGTGGAACTAGTCTTCTTGTTGTGTGGTTATGTAAACTGCATTTAGTTAGTCTAAGTCCGGAGCCCAACTCCTTAAACTAAACCAATATTGTTATGGTTAAGCTAATGTTTTTAAGTTCTTTTAACCATATCGATTTTTTATGTTACGTTTAAATTTTTAAGTACACCTTTTCTCCAATTTGAAAACCAATGCATTTTCCAACACTTCCTACTTTAAAAATAGATGGCTTCTGTTAAATAATTAGGCTACTTTTATATCAGATTAAGTTGTTGCACAATATGCTTTAAGCTGATATTTTTATAAATATTTTTCTAACCAAACGAACTCCGCTTTCAGTATGGAAGATTAATCAACTCTAAGAAATTTAGCTGCCATATTGTTTTTCTCTTTCTCAGTTTTACTATTGATAGAACAAATTTCGAGAACTGGTGGTATTGCAGAAGCAAAGTCTTCCAAACTTTTGCAACTTCTGACTCGTTGGGATTTTTATTTTCTATTCTAGTTATAAACATAATTCAGTCTATAGTTATTTCTTGTTTAAAATATCAACAAATCAAATATTTGACTACATTGGCGTAACCATTATTAATTTATTAAGTTAACTATCTACATATACTGTGATTTATTAAATGAAGTATTTTTGATGTAGCATAGATATGTACAGACTGTTCACAAATAAAATTATTATTCTTTAACCACTGTTTCCTTTTTCCTTTACTTATTGAAACAATACCATACACTCTACACTATTTCTGCAGTATTTGCGATCAGCCTACCTAGAAAAAGCCTACCAAATTGAAATTAAATTGCAAACATTTTGCTGATATCGTTAAAAAGCGACTTCTTTGTAAACCCAACTAACAGCTTAGAGAGAAATCTTGTTCAGCAAATTCTCTATGATCACACAATCTGGTGTCATTGTTCTTCCTTTTGGGGATTAAGAAGATTCTGTTATTATATAGAGATATACCGATTTACCACATAATTATGGGGTATCTACTAGCAGAAATTAGAGTTTAGAAACAGGACTGATTTTGGCTGTTTTAATTCAAGGGATACTTATTCATGTTTGGCAGGTGTTTTTTTTGTACAGGTATCTAAAAAAATTATTGGTGTTGGATTAACTCAATAGTCTAGTAATGTGACTCAGTATTATTGCCTTCCCTACATGCCATTCTCTAATTGACACTATACTTGCTTACTTGGAAGATTCATGGACAATACTTTTTTTTCTTCTTTCATTTCAAGTTTTAGTACAAGTTTAATGTTATCCAATTATAAAACTAAAGACCCTCTTACTCATTAAAAACAACCTTAACACGTTCGCTACCACAATTATATGGAATTTACGTTCGCATAGACCAGCGACGCAATTGTGCGTCGACTCGTTTCTCACAGTAGACCACCGACGCATATTTGCGTCAGCTGGTCACATTCAAATAGACTAACGACGCACATTTGCGTCGGTGTTCTAATGTTATTAAACAGCGTATTTCTTAGCAACGGTCTATTTTAAAGCCCGGATTTTATCGTATCGGTCTAGAGGGATATCTGCTGCAAATGTGCGTCGCTTGGTCTGTGGATATGACGATTGGTTACGTCACACAACAGTTGGCAACATTGTTGTTTACGTTGTGTATTCCGCGACATCACAGAACAGATGTAAACGTTATAACCTTTGCAGTTTTGGCTAGTGTTTAGTGGAGTTTCTTTATTTGTTTGTGTAAAAGCTTGAAACAACCAAATTCACAACGACGCTTACGTGCGTCGCCTGGTCTATTGAAACGAAAATGTAATCTTTTTAACTGGATTTCATTAAATAGACTGACCGACGCATATATGCGGCGTTTTAAAATTTGCTCATAACGAAGAATAAAAACAATATTTATTGCTTACTAATTCACTTAAGGTTATTATGAAGTCAATTAGTCCATTTAAACGATATTTCTCTTTTGGTCTGTCGGCAATGTTATTCCTATATCACTTGGTCTGTAAGGAACGTCATGATCATTCCTTTTAGTCTGTAGGAGTGACCGGACCGACGCAAATGTGCGTCACTCGGTAGCGAACGTGTTAATTACATTTATTTTTGGCCCCGGCTTCTAAAACATAATGTGTGTATTCTCATTGTCAAAGAAGTTCATAGCACTTGAGTATTGGAAAAGATAAATATACACTAGACACTATTTAACACAAAAAAGCAAAAGAGTAGTTTGGTGGCTGTAGTGAAAGAGTGATGACTAGGGTAATAATAACGGTTAAATATTAACTTTATTTACAGGGCTTAGCACATTTAGTTTGACTTCAACTACTACTAACTGTGAGGTTGTGATCGGCAAACATAGTAACCACTGTCCTTCAAGCGTCTGTAGAGCGCAATGTACTTGCAGGCGGTGGTGGTGCGCGGTGAGACAAACGCTTCACAAAACGTCACCTACAAATTGTAATATATAAAAGCATATAAAAATTTCAAAAAATGAATAACTGGTTTTTATAAGACTAAGTCCATGCTCGAGGAAAGAGGCTCTATCTGAAGATTTTGTAATGGTTATTTTTGTTAATTGTATTAATAGTCAAAGATTATATCTCTTTCAATACTTGAAAACACTCAAGCAAACAGCAAACCTAAAATACCATATACAAATTAAACACCAGAGTCACTGAGTTGATGCCCCTTAAGATGTGCCTATGCCTGTATTTTAATTTGGTTAATGGCCTTATCCGTTTACCAAAATTTGATCATATCATTAACAATGGATTAGCTGTTGTGGTGTGCATTGATTATATTGTTTACCTTACTGGCTGCAGCCTCACTTAGCGTACCATCTCTCAAGCAACGCAGGAAAGACATCACAAATGTGTAGCAGTTAAAGGTCTCTTCATGGTACCTAAAAATTCAAACAAAAATCTGTCAGATGAGGACAAGAAAATTGTTTTGAAAAATAATTTTCCTACCACTGCATGGAAATGATCAAATTACCACGGCTGTTAACAGTACACAAAATAGCTCATTACGCTCTAGAGCGGGAATATGGATCATTCCCTTTCCCTGTCAGCAGATTTCACTGTTGGCATTTCTACACCACAGCCACGGGGCAGGTGCGTTAACAACCGGTTAGCAAAGCAAATATTATAACCTTAAAAAGCAAACATAACCAAAATGACATTTAATATACAACTAAAAAGTTAATTTGTGTGCTATGTTAAGTTAATTAAGGTGGCAGGAAAAATCTTCTGTGTATTACGAGCACAAACAGTCATTGCCGCTCTTGAAATGTATGTTTGCCTCAATAAAAACTGTCTAAATTGCAGGAATTGAACTAGTTTGTGTCTATTAGATGACAGGGTTGATATCTCATCTTTGGAACAGCTGTCTTTTTCAACGAGAATATAGTTGAATGAGATTCACAGGGTGTGATACAGGATAAAAATCAATCTCTTCCCTTAGTTTCTGTGGCTGTGACAGTGACAACGGTGCTATAGTTCACAATACCTCCTTTCTTTTTGGTTTGGATTGAAAGTTTGGTGTACACGAGGAACTAGGTTCCAAACAATATTATAAAAACTTATTTTCAAATTTGACCTAGATGAAGTCCAGCAGTCTTGACTGGCGACTGAGTCGAGTGTCTGGTCCCAGTTGTGTGTCCACTCCTCCGAACACAGCTGACTGACCACAAGACACTGCTGCCAACTGTGGCGCTGGTCACGACGTAGCCCGTGTTGGTCATACTCTACCACCCGGCCCCGGGAGTCCGTCACACCTATGTGTAGGTCCATACTGATCTTGTAGTCACTGCAACAGATACACAGTGATGAAGAAATAAAAAAAAGTATTGTAACAATTATTTTGAAATTTTTTTAAATATCTGTCTGGTGAGGGAATAGAGTTTTTGTGTCCCACCTTCACATCCTAGGATGTTAGGAAGGCTCTAGTCCAGGACCATTTTACTCATTACATTTTAAACATAGAGATGTTTACCTCATAAGATAGTAATTTGTATCTATAATAAGAACAAGTGATTTAAAGGTATGCTCCACCTGTCTGGCACATGCAAATGCAAGGGTTTTAGTTCTTACTGTTTGTCACCCCGATGGTTTAAAAGATCTGGGGTCATTTTTTTGTAAAACAACATCGTAGGTCCTGCGCGTTTTAAATTTTTTTTATTTTTAAAGAATGTTAGGCTAAAAGGTTGGTAAAAATGTTCAAATATGTGTGTTCTATCAAAAATTTTAATGCATTTAAGAATTTTTAGAGAGAAAATAAAAACTTGGGACGTGCAATAGATTTTTAGAAACAAGAATCTGCAATTAGTTTACTGAAAGGTTTAAGGGTAACGATGTAATCACGCACATTCAAAAGGCTTGCTAGCGCTCTTCATGGCGCTGTTCACTGTTTAGTGCAATGCAGGGTTGCCACCAGTCCTGATTCTGCCGGGACAGTCCCGATTTTGGTTCCTAATTCGGGGGAAGGGGGGCAATGTCCTGATTTTTCCCTATCATAAGGTGGCAACCCTGATGCATAGTAACATTGGTGTTAAGCAACATCGTACTAAGAAATCCGAGCTGAGGTAGAGCGCACCCTTAAGACACATTAAATAGTAACAAAACCATGGTCTGAACCCTAAAAAATTAAAAATAACAACACTGGCATAGAGGGAGAGAGGGAAACTTATTTATTCAAACTTACTATTAAGAAGCACAGAAAACTTCAGTGACAGTATTTAGTAAAATAAATAGTCAAATTTATCTTTGTGAATAAAATAAAATTAAAAATAATACAAATTTAATTAGTAGGTAACTTAATACTTACTTGAGGAAATCTCCATTTGTTGGTCTAATGATGACAGCACATGGCTGCTGCTGAGCTCTAACAAATGGGTAGGGGACCCTGAAATGGGTAACCATCATTAGTAAACTATGCTTCATTCTAAAGTGTTTATTTTTTCAACTCAAGTGCATTTAAAATTTAAATGTACAATAGTTCCTCAAAAAAACATATGGTTTTACTCCATAATAGATAAGTGAACGGATTAATGAATCATGTATTGTATATCGGAGTTTAAGATTAATTGTCCGTTTTTAGGATCACAAGAACTCAATGTCTCTTGCACTAATAGCGTTTGAATTTTGCACAAATAATTATGACACCATAGACTATTCCGCTCCTGAGCCTGCTCAGTAGTAATTATAAAATCATAAAAAAAATTTTTATAATTTGTCCCATAAGAATAACATTAGAAGCTATGGTCATCTTCTTTTAGCAAATTTCTCATATAGGGAATAACCAATTACCGTAGTACTCATGGTAAGACCTGGACCCAGGACCGATTTACTTTTTTGTTTTGAGGCCCCTTGAGGCCAAAAACACCATCTGTTCAAATTCATATGTGAATACTGTATATATATATATTAAACTAGCTGTGTGCCCGTTCTACGCACGGGGATCTTATAGTAGTCAGTTGAAACCTTCTTATATTAAGATTAAGAGCAGCAATTAGTTTGCATATTTGCAGATATGCTGGCAAAACTATTATACACAAACCTTCGCAAATACAGTATCTGACAGTTCAAGCCAAAATAAATGCTTCGCAATTAAATGTCGCCCGGATCGTGTTGGTCCATATGTCCAATGATTAAACTTAAAAATGTTTTATAGATCCATGAAGCGTAGCCCTAAAGTAGGCCTATAATTGAAAGTTACTTTCCACATCGGTTAACTTAAACGTATTTAAAGTACTACCTCAACCTCACCATTTAACACTTTATTCCGGTTGACATTTTCAGTATCAAAGGTGCTCTTGTCCATTCCGTGAAACACTGAGAAATAAGGACATTAATGCGTTACCAACATATAACAAAACAACACAATACAACAATCCAACAAAGGCCACGAACTATTGATACATAAACAATATAAAGGCGTAAACAATTCATGATGGTTTGCCCAACAAATGTTTTACTCAAATAGGTTATAATTTTCTTAGCATACCGGGTAAGCTAAGATTTGGAATCCAGGCAGAAAAAGCAAAACTTATACAGAGTTAAGACATCACTTAAATTGAATACGGACGGCTCTAATAAATAAGGTGCAACACCAACGATATCTAATTTGTAAACTACCGGTTCTAAGGAAAAGAACCAGTACCTACGTAAGAACCTACCTAAGAATTACAGTAAATCGGACCAATTAAATACATTAATATCTAGCTTCGAGGTTATTGATCTCTTGCTTTTGGATTTTCTCGTAAAAAGTTATAGCGTAAACTTATCGGTGTCAGTTTGAAAAAAAAGCAACCTTACCCAAACAACTTTTTGTTATTTAATAGATTACGCATTCTCTAAACAATGATTAGTATATCTATTAACATTAGAAGGAAATGTGACGAAAATCACACAATGTTGGGGTTTTGGTCATTTGTAATTTTATTTTTTAAGTAGGTAGGCCATGTATTCTATGGAAAAGTACCGGTATCAAGGATCGTCGTCAAAAAGGTTGTTATGAATAAATATGTAGGCTTACGTACCCAAGATATGAGCTATGGGCCTATTGGCTGTATGGTCCAGTGATTGCATCACACGGTGAGTAGAAACAGAAAGTGACACATTGGAAAAGCGAGTTTAGCACTTCCTCTGTTAAACCTCTGTTACAATCACCCACTGCAGTTGTGATTTTTTACTTTACACTTTACACAATCAACATTGAAGCGCCGTCAATGAGTGGAAACCTTTTTTGTAAGCTATTGGCGACGATCATTTCAGTGTCACAGCCCTATACAACACTGATTCAAGGTCTTCTTCTTTCTGGTTGTCAAAACTCAAGAAACATTTTATACTCAAAGAATTTCTGGTTCCGATTTGGACGATGTCTAGTTATTTAATTTCATTTACGGTTACACTATTAGACTATATTATTGCACTTGCGATTAATTAAATCCGTTATGTAAGAAAAACGTTTTTAATCTCACTTGGTATTGATTTGCTTTCAAAACGTGATTCAAAATAGTTGCGGTATTTGTAAACAGCATTTGTAAACATGTCATTGACAGCTAGAAAAAATAATCTTGATCCGAACAGCTATTCGTAATTTCATAGACGATTCTGTGATAAAAATTGAACGAAAATTTGACAAAAATCGCACAAAACTGCATTTTTGAACGTCCATAATTTTATTTACAAAGTAGTGAGGCTATATTTAAATCACTAAAGACACTCTCGCCAATCCAGTGAATACATTAAAATGGCTTGGATCTTGATATGTACTCTGGTTTTCACGGAGAAGATTGTGTAAAATGCCATCTTGAGTGTTACAGACAAAGGGACAGACAGACAGACAGAAATTGAGATAAGACTCGTTTCTGCTTCTTTAATGTATAAAACGTAAAAATAACCTAAAAGTATATAATTCTGAGCAATGTACAGACAAAACTCTAATTTTATTTATATAGATTGAACGGATGTGTTTTTGTCCTCAAAACAAAAAAGTAAATCGGTCCCGGGTCCAGGTCTTCCTTTGAGTACTACTGTTATAAATCGTACGGTAGTAAACAAGTATTTTTTACAATTTCATCTGTGGAACACCATCAACTCTTTAATGGAAAGGTTCAACCATAAGTTTGTGCTAGAGCAAAATTTTACAAGAAAAATTCTGAAAAATCTTACAGTTTTTTGAACCACAAGGAAAGATATTTTAGGTTACCTGAAGGGGGTCAGCGGAGGATGATGATTCGCCAAGCTTGTGCGACAAACCGGACAGTGTTCTGGAATCTGGAACATTATACAGGGTTAGTAAAAAGTGTTAATTTTTTAACAGCCCATACTAGAAAAACAAAACTCGACACACCTTTATGGCATTTTATGAAGTACTTTTTGGGCATAACCGCCACTTGGTGTACATCCCCAAAATGGGGGATTTTGGGGGAAACTTAAAGATTTTAAATGTTAAGACCCATCGAGTGACCCCTCATTTTGAAGGTCCTGGTAAAAGAAAACCAACAACACAAACTATAGGTCTCTATATCAATCCAGTAAAAAATGGCAGCCAATTGAAATTTTCTCAATACCTATAATCATTCAAAATGGTTTTCAAGATACAAAATTTAAAAAATTAAATTCCTTAACTAACTCCCATCCACGTTTCCATGCAATTTTTAAAAAAACGTCCAAGGCCCCGCCAATCCTTCCCATTCAAATATCCCCTCTAAATAGCCCTCTAGATATAAATCAAAGGGTAGGGGGGGGCGAAGCCATAAAAGAAGCTACCTATTTAATTACCATAAGAAAGGTTGTACAAGTAAGGTATATATCACTGCAATGGTAGACTCCATGTTATCCGGACTCCTTGGGACCAAAGGATAATAGATTTTCCGGGTAAACCGACGTTCCCTTTAACTTGTTCCCAGTAATCACTAAGAAACTAATCCAAATATTTTACTAACAATTTGGGAGAGCATTGTATTTTGACACCTGATCACTGGTCTCAAATCTTTCCCACCAGAAAAGTCGTTTCCGTACATGCTGATCCAGTTTAGTTAAACGGATGTACTGTTAAAAATTGTCCGGTTAAAGATATGTCACTTCTGCAGAGTCCGGTTAAACCGATGTCCAGTTATAAGGTGTATAAGAGGGAGTCTACTGTATGTACTAACTACTATGTAGTTACTTAGGCTTATAACGGGTGGTCCATAAGTGACATGAGCTTGACTTAAGTATTTTTACTGGGCGTGGCAAGATTCCAAAACTCAAAAAATATAATTCAAACCAATGATAAAAAAAAATTATAGCATTTTTATTTACCACAAGAGGTCACTGAAAAGTCACATATTTTCATTCAAGGGCCCTTGAAAAAAGAAAGGTTAAAAGAGTAAAAACTCACCTGAAAACAGAAAACCCTCGGGCCACAGTGTTGCACACAGAGAATACCTGGATCACTATCCATCTATGAACAAAAAAGTTAATTCAATATATAATCTTGGAATGGGTTAATCTTACCTAATAGCATCATAGCCTTCAATTTCAATGACGTAAATTCCTAACCTTTAAGTAGAATTGTAACTTTTCCCAAATTTGTTGCCTACTCAATTCATACCTAAATTGTTTAAATGCACATAGTCAAGTAATAGTACAGAATAAAGAACTAATTAAGATTTTATAAAAGTGTATTCAAATAAACATTAACTAGTGTACCTGTTGCTCGAATTGCGTTGTATTACAGGCGTTATTTTAAAACAAATAACAACTTTCTCGCATTTATCCATTGTAACATTCTACGCCAACCCATATTTAAATAGTAAATATTTCATTTCAACCAAGTCAGTAAATGTTTGTAGCACACGTTTCCCTAAATTGCAACTAAAGGCCCGTTCACAAGCTAGCCAGCGTGTAAGAAGCCGGCGAGTGCGCTTGTAGTCGTTCACACGATGCTTTTTCCACTCGCTCAGTAGCTGGCTTGAACCAAATCCTCCAACATCTTTGAGTGACAAGCGCACAAGCACAAGCAACTGTGTTCACACTGGGCTACTTTACACGCCTACTCGCTCAAAAGCTGGCGAGTTGGCGTGTAAAGTAGCGGCAGCGTCAACTTTTTCCAGAGTTTTTGTACAAGCAGCTTTTGAGCGAGTACGTCGTTCACACTGAGCTATTTTACTAGCTGCGTGTAAAAAAGCCGGCGTGTAGCTTGTAAACTCGCCCCGTGTGAACGGGGCTTAAGCTATTAACAGCAATTAAATTATCCAGCTGATCACAATGTGTTCTTCATGGGATAACATGGGAACTTTAAAAGCCACTGGGGCAGAGACCAAAGGACTTTTTCAAAAATGTAAGGTCAGTTTGCAAATCTACACACCTAGACAAACATTTTGGTATATAATATGTGAGGTTAAATCTTAAAACAAAAAGCCTTATTGTTTACA